CCGTTTCTTCATAAATGGCAGAAAAGTGAAAAATTTTTCGTCTACGTTTTAGCCCGCAATTCTGAATCGATTTTGAAAATTCAAAAACCGTTCGAAAGATATTGGTTGGGAATCGTGCTGATTAGTTTTTGGTAGAGATCGGCCGGGCCGTTTTCTTGTAATAAAGTTTTTTAAAAAAAAATTCGACGATTTTTATGATTATTTTTTTGACGATAGATACCATAGTCTTCTAGATCATACAAAAATATTACGGCGCTACGACAACTGGTTCAGCTTTAAAAATTCGTCAAAGTTTGCAAAAATCAGTATGGTCTTTTTGGCATTTGTCAAAATTAGACTTTTGATCGACGTTTTCTCAAAAACGCCTGAACCGATTTTAGAAATTTAAAAGCCATTTGATGTATTTCGGTGAGGACTATCGTTTGTCAGTTTTGTGCAACGATCTGCCAAGCCGTTTCTTTGTAATTTGAAAAAAACTTTTCGTCCACATTTAAGCTCATCCTACCGAACGATTTTAAAAAATCAAAAACTGTTCGAAAGATATTAGTTGGGAATGGTACTGATTAATTTTAGGTGAAAATCTACCGAGCCGTTTTCTTGTAATTAACTGTTGAAAAAAAATTTAAGCCGATTTTCATGTAAATTTTTTTGGCGATATACATCATGGTCTTATAGAACTTACTGTAATATTACGGCCTAACGACAAGTAGTTTAATTTTAAAAATTCGTCAAAGTTTGCTAAAATTATTATCGTTTTTTTTAAAGTAGGATTAATGAAGTATATTACCCAGTAAGCACGTGATGTTGCAGCAATATTCTATATAAATCCCTGCCAACATCCCCGCTGTGACAATAAACCAATGTGGTGTAGATGTTCGTTTAAAATTGCAATTGTGACATACCGATCGGTCGTTTTTTATGAAGGCTATCAAAAGCTATATTTATATTGAGAGAGAACCGTTACATCAAATTATCTTATATTTTAGAAATTTTAATAATAATTATACATTTGTTAACATTTTTAAAGTTTATCCGTTATACTGCGGCGCGGCGCTTACGCGCTTCGGTATTTTTTTCTCTGAAATAACCGCGTAGCATTATTGCTTTGAAAAAAATTCAAAATTTTCAAAAAATTTCGGGACAAAAAAAATCAAATTTTCCAAAAAAGTCATATTTTTTTAAAAAATCTCAAAAGTCTTATTTTTTCAAAATTTTTATTTAAAAATAAAATCAAATAAAAATCGAAATTACGTACTAATTATTTTGATCTCTGTTAAAATTATTTCAATTTAATAAATGTTCAAGTATAAATAAATAAAAAAAAAACAAGTATTGCCCGAAATGCTTCTACTGATGGCGCGAGGTTTGAATAGAAATGCTCAAAATAATTTTTTCCGCAAATATATATTTTTAATAATCTAATCATAAACAAAATATTTAGCAAAAGATGCTTAGTTCTAATTCTATTTGTTGTTTGGAATAAATATCAAATATTAAAAGAATAACTTGTGAATTTTGTGAATTTGTTATGTGGTAACACTACTGTGGTACAGGAACAGTAGAATCTATGAGTAGGATTATCTAGGATTAAAGATGGCCGGTTGTCAACAAAGAGTGTTTTGCTTTATCTTGTTAGTAAACTTAGCATTGAAATAAAATGGAAAAGTAAGTACATCATATATATAACTGTATTAATTAAACTATATTAATTTATTTAACGTTTACTTAACTTGATATTCGTATGGTATTATGAAAGATACATGAACGATACATCAATGAAGAGGTTAGAAAAAGCACGCCGCTGTATTGTCATAGAAAAATGATACTGAAGATAGAAATCCAGTCAATTTTACAAGATCAAACACATGATGATATTTGGGATCGTTTCGTGAAGATTGATGGTTCAAAATAATGCATTCGGAGTTAATCCCGCTTGTTAAATTTGTGGATGAATTACAGTCAGTGAAGATGGGGAGTTGTCTTTTGAATTTGTAAGTCTCTTGTACTATATATATATATATATATATATATATATATATATATAACATTTCCTAATAGATACATATTATGTTCATTCTTTTAGAAAATCTTCACGTATAATGAAGTGCGATGAAATGGTAGTGAGATGAGACAAGTCATATACTTTTTCGCCCTAGGAGTAGATGGCAGACCTAAGAAGTTATTTTAGTCAAGACAATATTTGAGGAGCACAATTGTAAATAGGTCAAGACTAGAGAATGATATAGGTTCAGAAATTATATCTGTTCCATGTACAGTAGAAACTCGTTTATCTGGATTTCGATTATGCAAACTACAAACCTCGAGCAATTTATATATACATGCAAATATTCAACTTGTACATACCTACAAGTTGAATTTTTGCATGATTAATGCTGCAGTTTAGTATATGTATGTAATGTAATCTAAGAAAATATATATGTACATTCGTAAGAAAGTGTTTCTTAATAAACACTGTCTATGTATGTACTTGTTATTTTTAATAAATACACAACATAATTCTTAATACATTCGATTATCTGGATTTTTGGTTAGCCAAATGCCTATTGACAACAATTAGTCCTGTAAATCGAGTTTTTACTGTATAAGTGATTCCTCAAATATGTACAAAAATTTGTTATACATAAGATTACACATCACTGTTCTTTATATATATATATATATATATATATATATATATATATATAATATATATATATATATATATATATATATATATATATATATATATTGATTGTTTCTTTTCCGAACAGTAAATCCAATAATAAAAAATGTTTTGAAGATGTTTAATACGACGTTTTGGAACTAGGTACGTTCCATCATCAGGTTTGTGTGTTTAAGTCAAATATCTTCCAAAAAAATCGAGTGTTTTTAACAAAAAAATATTAGTGATATGGATATATAAATTATTACAGAATAAACCTGATGATGGAACGTACCTAGTTCTGAAACGTCGTATTAAACATCTTCAAAAAACAAATTGTTTTTTATTATTGGATTTACTGTTCGGAAAAGAAACAATCAATAAATTGAAAAAATCCAGGACTTATCTATTGAATATATTTATTTTTATTTTATAGTTATTTATATATATATATATATATATATTAAGATTGAGTAATGTGGATCATTATATAAATATAAATTATTATTTTATTTATAATTGTAAATTAGGATTTATGTTATTTATGATTGTTTTAAAGTAGAATTATCCGTAAACGTTTGTCATACCAATTTGTAATCTTTCAATAATATGTAATTATTATAAATAAATAAATGCTTTTCTAATAAATTGTCTATTAATTCTGTAAAAAAATTATGCTTGCATTTATACTAAAATTGGATATTGCTAAGATGTCGTACGGTGGTCGCGAGAGAGACATCGCGATGCGATGTTGATTCAAGTGTAGAATCCATCTCAATAACACATTCGTGACTACGACGCGGCGATGTCTCATGTCGCCGGCGCGACATCAGTGCGACTATTGCACTGATGTCGCGTGCTTACTGGGTATTTACACATTTTTTTTATTAAGTCGATTATTTACACATTTCGGGAAGTTCATGTAACTTGCCTCAAGGCTAATAAATACCAAACCAACTAGTTATAATGAAATTTATTATAATGAAAGTTACAGTATTTGTAATAATATATTTGAAAACGTTTAAAATTTTTCGAATTTCCAGCAATTTGCCTTAAGGCACGATGCCATACACCACTAGTTAATTTTAAAATTCATGTATATGGTTCAAACAAATGTCCTCGACATTTTCGACAGTGAAATAACCGATTTGAATAATTTAAAAAACATTTGATTCGTATTGATAAGGAAACGTGCTGATTAGATTTTTGCGAAGACAGATCTAGCCGTTCCGAAGATACGGGGTAAAAAGTGCCAAAAACGGTAACTCAGTTTTTAAGAGGATTTAAACGGAGCGTTCGATTTTAATAATTCGAAAAACATTTTACTTGTATTGATGAAATGAGCAACTGGTAAAATTTTTATTGGATATATGTACATCAAATTATCAGATATTTTATAGAGATCCTAATACTATGCACACATTTCGTGTAAATTTTTTTGGGTTCCGTACCAAGATTGTTAATTTTCAAGTTTTTTAACATGGTTCGAACAAATGTCCTCGACATTTTCGACAGTATGGAATAACCGATTTGTATGATTGAAAAATCATTCGGTTCGTACTCGATCGCAAAGCGTTTTTGCAAAAGGCAAAAAAGGTTATGAAGTTTTTGAGAGAACTTTAATCCGATTAGATTAATTCAAAAAACATTTACAGAAAATTTAGTAATTTTGAAAATTAAAAAAAAAACAAAATTTAAAAAAAAAATCAAAGTTTCCAAAAATTCAAATTTTCGAAATTTTTCATCATTTTCAAAAAAAAACTTAATTTTGAAAAAGTTTAAGTTAGTTTTTTTTTAATTTTTTTTAAAGTTGAATTCACTCCTTCAATAAGAAGTCATATTAATCTAAATTAACATATACATTGATATAATAATCTAAATTAATATATACATTAGACCAAATATAACACAGAACCTTTCTGGGAACTATAAGAGACTGATATGATTCCAAATTTTATTGAACCGATATGGCTTCAAGTATCAAAACGCTTGCTTCCATCTAGTATATTTGTCATTCTCTGAAACACTTTCTTAGACAAAAATATTGTAAAATTTCTGGTTTTATGTTTAATATATTTTTGAAGTTTCTTAATATTGATACATCTAGACTAGAACATTGTGAAGCTTTTTCAATATTTTTATTAATAACTTATAAATTACTTTCTATAACTAATTACAGTCTTTGACAAAGTTATAGCTGACTAAATTCTCTAAAACATTTACTCAGACAATAATATTGGTAAATTTACATTCATATTTTTAAAATATTTCCGAAGATTATGTAGTACATTTCTGGATAGTAAATTTAAAAATTTAAGTAAACAAAAATGTTTATATTTCATTGATTTTCACCAGGCTTCTGACTATGAAGTGCCATGTGTCTCTTCAAATCCTTGGATTGAGTAAATTCCTTATTACATTTATAGGAATGCTCTCGTTTATGAATCAGCATGTGTTTTTTCATATGACCTCTTTCTGTGAATGTCTTTTTGCATAGATTGCATTCATGAGGACGTACTCCACTGTGTCTCAGCATGTGATTTTTTAAACTACCTGATTGCGTGAATGTTTTTTTGCATATATCGCATTCATGGGGACGTACACCACTGTGTATCAGCATGTGACTTTTCAGATCACCTTTTCTCATAAATGTCTTTTTGCATATATTACATGCATGGGGACGTAATCCACTGTGTATCAGCATGTGTTTTGTTAGATCACTTGTTCTCATAAATGTCTTTTCGCATATATTGCATTCATGAGGACGTACTCCACTGTGTATCGGCATGTGATTTTTCAAATGACCTAATTGTGTAAATTTCTTATTGCATATATTGCATTCATGGGGACGTACTCCACTATGCATTGGCATGTGACTTTTCAAATGACCTAATTGTGTAAATTTCTTATTGCATATATTGCATTCATAAGGACGTACTCCACTGTGTATCAGCATGTGACTTTTCAGATTACTTGATCTTGTGTATGTCTTGTTGCATATATTGCATTCATAAGGACTTACTCCACCATGTATCAGCATGTGACTTTTCAGATTACATAAATGTGTAAATGTCTTATTGCATACATTGCATTCATAGGGGCGTATTCCCTTATGAATTACCATGTGTTTTTTTAGATAATTTATTGTTGCGAATGTCTTATTGCATATACTGCATCGATGGGGTCGCTCACCACTGTGAATGAGCATGTGACTTTTCAGATTAGATAATTGTGTGAATCTCTTATTGCATGTACTGCATTTGTGAGGGCGCTCACCACTGTGTATGAGTATGTGCTTTTTTAGTTCATTTAATCGATCAAAATCCTTGTAACAGATTTCGCATTTGAAAGATCTTTCTTTGCTATGCTCTTTTAAATAATCCGATTCTGCAAATGATCTATTGCAAAGGTCAAATTCATAAGTTGTTGTCTCGATTAACTCCTGTTTGACTTCTTCTTCAATTGTCACCTCGGAATTCATAAATCTTTCTAAACACGTGTCATCATCTTCAGAACACGATTCAGATTTAACAGTAACGTCAGGATTATCAAATTCATCCTCCATTTCGAGTTTATTGTCTTCTGGCGAATATTCTGGTGGCTCAATTTTAATTACCTGATTATTCATAGGCATAATTGTTTCCTCCGACATTTTTAAATATTTTCACACAAAAAATACAAAATAGTTGTGTGCTAAATGATAGTCTACTTTTGTCTATATTTTTTTTAATATAATAAATCATTTCAACTTAATTTTCATTACATTCTTGTTCATTTCATACTTGTTTATCTATGATTACATTTACAATTTGACATTTGAAGCATAGAGAGTATATTTCTAGAAAGATGAGACATTATTTATCGTGGCGCGTCTTTTCAAATTCAATATAGGTTCTCTATGTTTCTACTCTCACTACTGCTACAAACAAACTCTATGCTTCAAATGTCAAATAATAAAAGTAAATTTATTAAATTAAAGTTAAAGTAATTGATCATATTGAAAATAATTATTGATTAAACTAGACTATTATTTAGCACACAACTATTTTCGTTAATTTTTTCTGAGTGTAAGCAGTGAAAATATAAAAATGGCGGAGGAAACAATTATGTCTATAAATGATCAGGCAATTAAAATTGAACCACCAGAATATTCACCAGAAGACATTAAACTTGAAATGGAGGATGAATTTGATAATCCTGACGTTACTGTTAAATCTGAATCGTGTTCTGAAGATGATGACACGTGTTTGGAAAGATTTATGAATTCCGAGGTGACAATTGAAGAAGAAGTCAAACATGAGTTAGCCGAGTCATCAACTTATGAATGTGACATTTGCAATAGAACATTTGCAGAATCAGACGATTTAAAAAAGCACATGGCCGATCATATTCCTAGTAATAGCAAAGAATGTTCTTTCAAATGCGAAGTCTGTTACAAGGCTTTTAATCGATTAAGTAATCTGAAAAGGCACATGCTCATTCACAGTGGTAAGCGCGCCCATGAATGCAATATATGCAAAAAGACATTCATGAGAACAGGTGATCTAACAAAACACATGTTCATTCATAATGGATTACGCCCCCATGCATGCAATATATGCAAAAAGACATTTACGCATTCATTTAATCTGAAAAGTCACATGCTGATACACAGTGGTGTACGTCCCCATGAATGCGATATATGCAAAAAAACATTCACGCAATCAAGTAATTTAAAAAAACATATGCTGATACATAGTGGAGTACGTTCCCATGAATGCAATATATGTAAAAAGACATTTATACAATCAGGTGATCTGAAAAGTCACATGCTGATACACAGTAGAGTACGTCTCCATGAATGCAATATATGCAAAAAGAAATTTACACAATCAGGTAATCTGAAAAGGCACATGCTGATACACAGTGGAGTACGTCCTCATGAATGCAATATATGCAAAAAAACGTTCAGGCATTTATGTAATCTGAAAAGTCACTTGCTTATTCACAGTGGTGAGCGACCCCATCGATGCAATATATGCAAAAAGACATTCACAGAAAGAGGTCATATAAAAAAACACATGCTGATTCATAAACGAGAGCATTCCTATAAATGTGAAGAATGTAATAAGGAATTTACTCAATCAAACTATTTGAAGAGACACGTGGCACTTCATAGTCAGAAGCCTGGTGAAGATCAATGAAACATAAGCATATTTGTTTACTTAAATTTAAATATTGTAAAATTTTCTTGCATGTAATGACATGTAGAAATAGTATGAAATATACAGTACACATTACATAGTATAAATATCATTTCATAATTAAATTTTTATAAATTAAGTATTATTAATTTGGATTAGTAACCATTGGTTTCAGGTTCAAATACAAATTGGTCAGGAGTAGCTTTAACTTTTTAAGACTGTATTTAATTTTAAACAGAAGTTTAGAAGTTATTATGAATTTTAAAAAATATCTTACAACATGGCAATATATACCAGAAATATGCCACATGAATTTTTTTTTTTAAATATAAACGTAAATTTTTTGTCTGAGAAAATATTTCAGAAAATTTATTCAGCTATAACTTTGTCAAAGATTATATTTAGTTATGATAAGTAATTCAAAAGATATTAGTAAAAACCGAAACAATGTCTTTGTTCCACAAAATGGCCGACACGTTTTCAACATTATGCAAGTTTAAAATTATTTTAAAAATATAAGCAAGAATTTTACATAATTTTTGTCTTAGAAAATGTTTTAGTGAATTTATTCAGCAATAACTTTGTCAAAGACTAGAGTTAGTTATGAAATGTAATTTAACAGTTATTAATAAAATTCAAAACAATGTCTTTGTACAGCAAAATGGCTGACACGTTTTCAACATTGTTAAAGTTTAAAAATGTAAGCACAAACTTTACATCATTTCTGTCTGAGAAAATATTTTATAGAATTTATAAATTATTCAGCTACATTTTTCTTAAGATAGTATTAAGTTATAAACTATAGTTAGTATTGGTATTTTGCCTTGAGGCAAGTTACATGAACATCCCGAAATGTGTAAATAATCGACATAATCAATAAAAAATAAATTAATTTATGAGTGATTATAAGAATTCCGAGTGGATTTATTACATATCATTGCAAACAAACGAACGAATACGTTAACTCGGAGTATTTTCTAAAAGCAAATTTTCAAAAATCAATAATTTTTATAATTGAACCAGTTTCCGTAGGACTTAATTGTTTACTATGTTCAAGACCAAGTACACTATCGTTATACCAACTAAATCATCTAATTTTATTTTTAACAAACGTCAAAAAAACTACTCATTTTCTCATACTTTGATGATTTTTTAAAATTAAACTACATGTCGTAAGGCCGTAATATTTTAGTATGTTCTATAAGACCATATGATATATATCGCCAAAAAAAGTTCTATGAAAATCGGCTTAAATTTTTTTCAATGGTTAATTACAAGGAAACGGCTCGGTAGATTTTCACCTAAAACTGATCAGTATCATTCCCAACTAATATCTTGTGAACAGTTTTTGATTTTTTAAAATCGGTTCGGTAGTATGAGCTTAAATGTGGACGAAAGTTTTAACACTTTTTTCCAAATTACAAAGAAACGGCTCGTCCGATCGTCGCACAACACTGAGAAACGATAATCCTCATCGAAATACATCAAATGCTTTTTAAATATCTGAATGGGTTCAGGCGTTTTTGAGCAAACGTCGATGAAATTTCTAATTTTGACAAATGTCAAAAAGACCATACTAAATTTTGCAAACTTTGACGAATTTGTAAAGCTAAACGAGTTGTCGTAGGGCCGTAATATTTTACTATCATCTACAAGACTATGGTATCTACCGTCAAAAAAATAATCATAAAAATCGTCGATTTTTTTAACAAAAACTTTATTACAAGAAAACGGCCCGGCCGATCTCTACCAAAAACTAATCAGCACGATTCCCAGCCAATATCTTTTGAACGGTTTTTGAATTTTCAAAATCGATTCACAATTGCGGGCTAAAACGTATACGAAAAAATTTTCACTTTTCTGCGATTTACAAAGAAACGGCTCGGCCGATCGTCACGCAAAACTCAGAAACGCTAGTCCTCATCGAGATACATCGAATGGCTTTTAAATTTTTGAAATTGGTTCAGCCATTTTGGAGAAAACGTCGATTTACTGCAAAAAATCTGTTCACACACACGGCTCGCACACACACACATACTTTTTCCAAATTTGGTCTCATTCGATTCAGAATGGCTTGAAACGTCGAGAAAACATAAAATTACCAAATCGGATTTTTTGATGAAAACATAAACTTCTCTTTCGGGAAGTTAATTATACAAATGAGGGCTTTTAGAAAAAAGGATTTGAAAAATACGTTTTCCAAAAAAGAGTGTGAAAGTAATAACATTTCAAAAAAAAAAAATATTTTGAGTGTCTAATAACACTTTCGAAACCTTTAGTAATGTTTCTGTGTACAAATGAAACTACTCACTACAATTAAATAATATTCATCTGAAACACCCCATTAAATTTATTTGAACCTAATCTGTCAAAACCATTTGACGTTTGACGTATGAGCCGCCATCGATTGTTTCATTTTGAATTGCGCTCCTACCAAAAATTTTAGCTTAAAAATGTAAATTTTCTATGAGGTTTTGAAATAAAATCTCAACTTTTTCACAACCTCTGGATTAGCACGAATTTTTCAAGATTAAGACTGGCCAAAACCGTACAGTCTTTTTAGAGTTTTAGCATACCTAACATAAAAATAATTAGGCAACAAGTTGTTATTTATATATGTTATTCAATATAATATATTCATGGATTCTTTATTCGAGGCTTTTTTTTGAAACTTATCTAGAAATACACAAATAAAAAATTGTGAATAATAATATACTGTTGACCAAGATTAATAATACTTAATGTATAAAAATTAAAATGTGAATAAAAAATTATAAAATAATATCGAAATAGTATAGTGTTTACTGTATATTTCATACTATTTATACATTTCATTACATGGGAAAAATTTTTACAATATTTAAATTTAAGTAAACAAATATGCTTATTTCATTGATCTTCACCACGCTTCTGACTATGAAGTGCCATGTGTCTCTTCAAATTGTATGATTGAGTAAATTCCTTATTACATTCTTCACATTTATAGAAATGCTCTCGTTTATGAATCAGCATGTGTCTTTTTAGACTACCTAATTGTGTGAATGTCTTATTGCACATGTTGCATTCATAAGAGCGTACTCCACTGTGTATCAGCATGTGAGTTTTCAGACCACTTGATTTTGTGAATGTCTTATTGCATATATTGCATTCATGTGGACGTACTCCGCTGTGTATCAGCATGTGACTTTTCAGATTATTTGAGTTTGCAAATGTCTTGTTGCATATATTGCACTGATGCGGACACTCACCATTGTGTATCAGAATGTGACTTTTCAGATTATTTAATTTTGTGAATGTCTTGTTGCATATATTGCATTCATAAGGACTGTGTATCATCATGTGACTTTTCAAATGACTTAATTGTGTAAATTTTTTATTGCATCTATTGCATTCATGAGGACGTACTCCACTGTGTATCAGCATGTGACTTTTCAGATTGCTTGATTGCGTGTATGTCTTGTTGCATATATTGCATTCATAAGGACTTACTCCACTGTGTCTCAGCATGTGACTTTTCAGATTACTTGATCTTGTGAATGTTTTGTTGCGTATATTGCATTCATGGGTACGTACTCCACTATGCATCAGCATGTGACTTTTCAGATGACTTGATTGTGTAAATTTCATATTGCATATATTGCATTCATAAGGACGCTCACCACTGTGAATGAGCATGTGCTTTTTCACATTACGTAATTGATTGAAAGTCTTGTAACAGATTTCACATTTGAAAGGACTTTCTTTGCTATTACTAGGAATATGATCGGCCATATGCTTTTTTAAATGGTCTGATTCTGCAAATGATCTATTGCAAATGTCACATTCATAAGTTGGTGTCTCGACTAACTCCTGTTTGACTTCTTCTTCAATTTTCACCTCAGAATTCATAAATCTTTCTAAACGCGTATCATCATCTTCAGAACACGATTCAGATTTAACAGTAACGTCAGGATCATAAAATTCATCCTCCATTTCGAGTTTAATGTCTTCTGGTGAATATTCTGGTGGTTCAATTTTAATTGTCTGATCATTCATAGTCATAATTGTTTCCTCCGACATTTTTATATTTTCACTGCTTATACTCACAAAAAATTACGAAAATAGTTGTCTGCTATATAGTCTAGATTTATCAATAATTTTAGTTAACGTGATAAATAATTTCAACTTTTACATTAATTATTTGACATTTAAAGCATAGGGTTCATTTATAGCAATAGAGAGAATAAAAACATAGAAAAGCATAAAGTATTTGAAAAGACGCGCCACTTGTTTCTCGCTTCCGATGTTATGCTGTGTCCCCACTGCACGAATCTGTGTCGAATCCTGTTCGCAACGCTCGCATGCGTTGGCTCTGTGCACGACGCACACTGCGAGCAATTTGATACATTTGAAATTTTTAGGATTCCATAATATTTTTTTTTCTTGATACAGTTCAGTTAGAAGAATAACATCTTCTCTACACATATCCATTTTCAAAATTGAGGATAAGATGCTCAATGCCTTCACTGTACAATTGAACTTATACCGTAATACAGATCAACGTTTATGTACAAGTTTAAAAAAATAACGGATACGAATACAGAATGCAGGTTGACCAACAGTTATCAGCTTTGAATAAAAATTATTAGTTCTATAGTTCTGTACTAAATATAAATACTTGTTCAGAAAAGACTTTGAACAAAAATTCAGTCTGCATATTAACAAGATTTTAAACGATAATTAGCGTAATTGCAAATAATACAATATTATTTTTTGGAGACATTTAATTTATTTTTATTTATAAATATATGATACGTCATATAAGTAGTAAGAGTGTATGTACTCTTATCATGATGATACATGATAATAATTAACTCTAAAATATGATAAATAAAGTCAATCAAAATATATTTTAGTTGGGTATGCATATATTTCAACAAATCTATAACTTAATTAACGATGTATTTCCTATACTAATAGATAAAATTATAATTAGTACATCAATTTTAATGACTGCTTGCTTATTTACATTTTTGATCGCTTCGACCATGTTCGGCAGGGTACGTGATTCTAAAAATAAACCCCCTCCCATTTTCAAACAAAAAAAAAAGAAAAAAATGCGCTATGGACATGCGCAGTGGACAAATTTGAAGGAAATTCGTGCGTTCGCACAGTATCACTCCGCTGCGCAAATTTGTTTGCGACGCACCATTCGTGCAGTGGAGCGCGGCATTATATTTAACTTCACGAAGGAGAAGTTTATGTTTTCATAACAAAATCCGATTTGCTAATTTTATGTTTTCTCGACGTTTCAAGCCATTCTGAATCGAATAAGACCAAATTTGGAAAAAGTATGTGTGTGTGTGTAAACACATTTTTTGCCGTAAATCGACGTTTTCTCAAAAACGGTTGGACCTATTTCAAAAATTTAAAAGCCATGCGATGTATCTCGATGAGGACTAGCGTTTCTCAGTTTTGTGCGGCGATCGGCCGAGCCGTTTCTTTGTAAATCGCAGAAAAGTTTTTCGACGATTTTCATGAATTTTTTTTTGGCGGATACCATAGTCTTATACTTATACCATAGTCTTATTTATGTTTACTTATCTATGATCTTATAGATCATACTATAGTATTACGATCCTACGACAAGTCGTTTAATTTTAAAAAATTGTCAAAATTTGCAAAAATTTGTGTCAAAATTTATAACTTTTATTGACGTTTGCTTAAAAACGCCTGAATCGATTTCAAAATTTTAAAAGCCATTCGATATATTTTGATGTGGATTATCTTTTTTCAGTTTTGTGCAGCGATCAGCCGAGCCATTTCTTTGTAATTTGAAAAAAAGTTAAACTTTTCGTCGACGTTTAAGTTCATACTGCAGAATCGATTTTAACAACATCAAAAGCTGTTCGAAAGATATTATTTGGGAATGAAACTAATTAGTTGTAGGTGAAAATCTATCGAGCCGTTTTCTTGTAATTATATACATAATAAAAAGTATTTCACAATTATAGGTAACTAAAAAACAGTATTTACAATGCAATAACAAATTTACAACAAATGAGTAATATTAATTGCTTAATGACCAACAATGTATAGAAACTACACAGAAATAGTGTAGGACATTTAGAATAGAGTGATAAAATCACAAAAACTGACTAATAATGATTTCCTAATGACTAATAATAATATAATCAAAAATTAAAAGCTAAGAAGAGAAAAGCGTAGGAGCATTAGGAGTATTGATAATGGAACAACAAATTTGGAATGACAAATAAAGCAAAATTTTAAAAAGTTAAAATAACTTGTTATAATGTACAATACCTCACAAACAAAAAAATGCTAAGAATATAAAATACATATATTGATATAAAAATTGAGAGAAAATTAAATTCTTGGGATTAAAATTCATTTATGACACATTCTTTTTTGTTAACTCTGAATTTAATAGTTATTTTGCTATCTTATTAATCATTGATAAAGTTGCATTAATAAATCTTTGAATAGTTTGCGATCTGTTCATATAATTTATACTTTATTTCTATGATCTATAATGGATTTATACATAGATAAAAGGATAAAAGAATAGTAGTATATGCAATGGATTTCAGTATACTTTTCCTAATGGTTATGGTCTCATAAGTTGCGATCCATTATAGTTACTTTAGCAATGATTTAATATGTTTCGATCCATGAAACTTATTTATCTATGTTTCGTCTGAAAATACGAATATTGGCGTCACTGCACAATCGCCGCCATGTTGAGCAATTGACAGTTGTGAACAAACGTCAAAACATAATTGGATTTAAACCTATTCTCATGCATTAAATTTAATAAATAGATATATAATTATCACAAGTAAATTATCAAAGTGAATACCTGAACGAAATTCATATACAAACAATACAAGTCAAAAGGAATGAATTTTGAAATAAATAATGACATTATAATTAAAACAGAACCGATTGAAAATTTAGCAACAGAAAATGGAATTGTGCAGAACGAATCAAATATAAAATCTGAATCACATTTTGAGGACGATGGAAATTGTTTATATAATTTCATAAAACCTGAGGTGACGATAGAAGAAGAAATCGAAGAAGAAATTGAAGAAGAAAACCAGGAGGTATTTAACTTCATTTGTGCAATTTGCATAAACACTTTAAAATATTAAATTACTTAAACAACAGTATGGTCATCTTTACTGACAATTGTCAATTTATATGCAAAGTCTGCAATAAATTCTTTGAACGTTCAAGATGGTTTTTCTCGAGTGCACCCAGAATGGTTACGTGCATATAGTTAGCAGCAAAGTCTTTTATGAGCATTGTCTATATTTAAAACTACTGTGATAAATTAAATTAAGTCCTAACATTTTAGCCTTTTCTAGTTATAAATTTTAAAATCCTTTGCATATTTTCTTAGAAATTCCTACACACAGGTTCACATAATCAATACGGTATCAAGCTTTATTACAAAAAGTTGCTTGATTAATTGTTATTATTCTCAATTAAATCTAATTCACAATAATAAATATTGCAAAATTTACTTTTTTTCTATTACATTACCAACTGGTATACTAGTTTTTCTATTATTACTTCTTACTCATCAGGTTCTAAAATATTTCTATTCAATAATAATAAATATAATCTTTATTTGACAATTTCAGTTTCAATTTCATATCTTGTATCAATAAACTTAATGTTTACAAGATTTTGCCATGCAATTCAATTAATTTATTTTTTATCATAGGCTACTACAATAGATCCGAACACCCCATCCACATGGAGAGGAACACAATCAGGGAAAAAAAAAATCCATGACTCGGAAGACAATTCAGCAGCCACCAAGTTTCGAATTCATTTACCTCAAATAGCTGAGGTGGGTGATAAAGGCAAAAAATTACGAAAACGTTGCAAATATTGCAGGGAAACTTATGGCAAAAGAGTGGATTCAATGTATATTTGTCCAGACTGTCCGGAGAAGCCCGGATTTTGTTTGAATCCTTGTTTTAGGTTATTCCACAAGTATGATTAGTGTAAAAAAAATTGATTGGTAAATAATTTTTATTGTTACAACCAAATCATATATATATATATATATATATATATATATATATATATTTGAAATGTTAATTTGTAGCAAAATTGTCAAAGTAAAAGAAACAACAACTAAGAACTATTTACTTTGTACGTTTCGACACGGTATGTGTGTTATCATTCAGCATATTTTACAATCTTTAAGAGAGTTTATTGCAAAGTTTAAAAAAAAAATTGAAATATATTATAGAATTATATGCTGAATGATGACACTACATAATTTATTGTTTCTTTTACTTCGACAACTTGGCTGCAAATAATGTCGAACAAAAAAATATATAGATGCGGCCTGGCCGATTTTGATTACTATCTAATCAATACAATTTGCAATTAATATCTTTCAAAAAGTTTAAAAAAATTGAAAATCAGTTTGAGATTTTTTGTGAAAATGTAAGCAAACAATTTTGTACATATTAGCAAATTATAAAAAAACGTTATGGTTGCTTCTGAAAGAATTATATATTTATAATAATATATTCATAATATTTATAAATAGAATGTATAGTTAAATTGAAATACAATTAACTACATATTGCATTTATAAGTTTGATCATGTGTTTGCAAATTCTCTAAACCTCTGAAATTTTCATATTTTTGTTTCATATCCCTTTCTAACAGCTCACGCAGATGATTGAATGTGCTATTCAAGTACTATTGCATATAAGATTTATCTTAATAACCACGTATGGTGGAATGGTATCATCTGTTGGTGATATTTTACATTGTGTGTTGGAAAAGATTTCTGTAATATGATCAGACAACATTGTTGTGCATTTTGTGTGCTTGCTCGTATATCTCTTGACTTGTTGATAGTAAAGTTCCATTTAATCTTTGGTTTTTCCAAAAACCATATTTGTTAAGGTGTAACACCATCTTCATGTCCTTATCATCACCTAGAGTATTTTACTTTTTTAGTAGTTTATTGTAAAACCTTTCTAAATATTGTAAAAAGGTTCTTAGGGCGAGGAGGAGTCTGACAA